GGGCTCGATCCCATGAGCCCGAAACCATGACCCAAGCAGAAACCAAGAGTCAGACTTTCAACTGACTGTGCCACCCAGGTGCCCCTGGGGTCAATCGTTTCTAACACAGGGCTAGTTACTCAGTTACTCATTCTGGGTAACGTCTTGAAAGCATGCTGTCATTCAGTGCCAAAATGTCGATCTCCTGCTCTCAGGCTCTGGCCAGCACATTGTTTATGGGTATCTGTCAGCAAAAAGGCCATTCTGCCAAACATACATATTCTTAGTTGTATTTCCTACAGATAGAAGAGGAAAGGTTTTATTCAAGATTACAAACTTTGCGATGGAAGGAAATGTTCTCCCAACCCACGTGAGGGTTTTTATTTTTCTATTGTCCTTCAGCTTCCAGGGTTCAGTTCAGTTGTTGGCACATGGTGGGCATCCAGGAAATAGTCATAGGGTTGAGTGTGTTGCCTCATGCCTAAGATTACAGAAAACAGAGTCAGGAGCCAGGATTGGGGATACTTGGCTTTGGTGAGAGGGTGTTCATACTCCTTGCCTAGGAATACAGATTTTCATAGAGCTTCTACTACTCATCGTTATTTGCAAAATAACGACTCAGAATTTCAAGAGAGAGGAGCTTCCTGTCACAGAGAACCAGGGCAGTTAGATAGCATTGCAGGCAATATTTTTCCCTGTGAGGATCCTTAATGAACTGAGTGATTCCAAAGATGAGTAAAGATTCCTCCCTTCCAGGTAATGGAAGGAACTTTCCCACTGTTGGAGACAGGGAGGGAGAATAGAGAGGGAGGGAGAGAGAGAGACAGAGAACCCACTATTATCTTTGATATTTCGGTACAAAAATTAGGTGTTTTTATAGTACAAAAAGTAGAACTTCACCAGGTGTGGGTTTTGGGATTTGAGAAACAAAACACTTTCTAGTATCTTCTAGCTACAGTATAATCACAAAAACAAGGCTACCCAAACTAAGCAGTTTGTTTGGTTCTTGGATATGCAGTAATTATCATAAAGATTCCAATTTCCCATGAGATCATTAAAAATTTTAATGCGGGGCACCTGGGTGGCTCAGTCAGTTAAGCGTCCAGCTCTTGATTTCGGCTCAGGTCATGATCTCAGAGTCGTGGGACTGAAGCCCGCGTCAGGCTCTGCACTCAGTGGGGAATCTGCTTGAGATTCTCTCTCTCCCTCTCCTTCTGCTCCTCCCTCCACTTGTGCTCTCACTCTTTCTCTTTCTAAAATAAATAAATAGTGTGCCTGGGTGGCTCAGTTGGTTAAGCGACTGCCTTCGGCTCAGGTCATGATCCTGGAGTCCCTGGATCGAGTCCCGCATCGGGCTTCCTGCTCAGCAGGGAGTCTGCTTCGTCCTCTGACCCTATCCCCTCTCAGGTGTTCTCTCTCTCTCAAATAAATAAAATCTTTAAAAATAAATAAATAAATAAAAATAAATAAATCTTTTAAGAAATTTTAATGCAACCCATATGAAAAATACTAATCTTTTTTAGACAAGGTGATTTTAAAGTTCGTTTGAAGAAATAATAGTGCTATGAAAATTATGAAAATTAACTGAGCCACCACCATATGTTAAAGCTACAATGATTTAAACTGTATGGTACTTATGCCTGATGGCCAGATCCATGGATCAAAGAGAAAATTCAGAAATAGGCACAAATACATATTTGGGAACGGAGTATGTCACAAAGTGACATTTAAAACCAGCGGTGAAGAGATAGACTTTCAGTAAATGACGTTTGAACAGTGACAGAAATTCAAATGAAGCTTGAAATTCAGACTTTTTGTTAAAGCTGAATATTCACTTTCAAATAATAAACTAAATCTATAGTGTACCTTGGAATGAAAGTCACTTTATGTGATAGATTTGAAAATCTATCATTTAATCTAATAAATAATTAGTATCACAAGAGTAAAATGTTATAAGTTGTGATGATGAAAGTTGCTAATTCAATGTACAAAAAATTACTGTGTACTTGAAAATACTTAATAGGGAAACAAATTGACAGTCAATATGGATCTTAAGAGAGATTTTTTTGAAAATATCATTATATTCTTTTTGAGACAAGCACCACTTATTAAAATAAATAATAATGAGGAGATGTAGGTCAAAGGGCACACACTTTCAGTTATAAGATGAGTAAGTTCTGGGGATTTAATGTATGGCATTGATTAGAGTTAATAACATTGTATTGCATACTTGAAATTTGCTGAGAGTAGATCTTAAGTGTTCTCACCACAAAAAGAAGGTAACTAGGGAAGGTGATGAATGTGTTAATTAGCTTGATTGTGGTAATCATTTCACAATATACGTATATCAAATTATCACCTCATACACCTAAAATATATACAATTTTGTGAATTATATCTCGACAAAGCTGAAAGAAGGGTAAATAAAACAAAGCAGATAAGAGATTAGGTATCCTAATCCTAATCTTCCTATGATTATTTGGGGTACTATTATTTAAAACCACATTTAATTTTTAGATATTTATTTTCATTTAGGCCATGCATTTTTTGAAAAAGAGTCCTATTAGAAATTCTTCACAGCTTGTAAGGATGCATTAAAAATAGGATGTCAAAATTTCATGGGAAGAAAATAATTCCAAAATTATGTATAAGCGCATCTATGAATCAGATATAATAAAGAACCCAGTCTGAAGAAAAGAAGTGCAATATAAATGCTAACTTCCATGATTAAATAATATTCAGTATCATGTACAAAGGGACATTTGAAAACCACCATTAATAGTTTTGACAGCATGATAGATACATGAATTCATCTATGCTTCTATTTTTCTTGCTTTCTGAGAAATTTCTGGCTCTCAGTCAGGAAGCAATATGGTGAAAATGTGAGCGAAGAAATATAGAGAATGGAAAATTGACAAAGTGGCATGCAGTTATCCCCGACAATAGAGCCAACATGGGGATGTAGTAACCAGAAGCATATGATGTGTGTTCACACTGCTTAGTAATGTGTCTGGTGAGTAATTATAGCCCCACATCATGTAACAAAATTATGTCTATAAGCAGAAAGATAGTGGCTCAGGTTCATGATCACCTTGTTCAGCCAAAGACAAACTATATGACGTATAAGAAATTATGAAACTTATGAAACTGGCTTGTAGCGTACTTACTGGAGGCTTTCAAACCAGATGTTTTTTAAAAGGCTGCTGGAAACAATGTAATTACTGAGTGTTTGCAGGTAACAATACCAAGTCGGCAGGGCTTGCCAACAAGCCATCATGCTTATGTAACCAAACTCCATGCCTCACCCGGGGCAGTCTTGTTCCAAGCGTCCAGGAGCCCCTGCCTGACTGGATGCAGCGTCCATGTGGCTTTGCCACTTTGTTTTTATTCTGTTTCTGATCCTCAAAGATGCTTCTTTTTTTTTTTAAAGATTTTATTTATTTATTTGACAGAGAGAGAGCCAGAGAGCACAAGCAGGGGGAGGGGCAGAGAGAGAGGGAGAAGCAGGCTCCCCCCTGAGCAGGGAGCCCAATGCGGGGCTCAATTCCAGGACCCTGAGATAGTGACCTGAGCCAAAGGCAGATGCTTAACTGACTGAGCCACCTAGGCAACCCTTCTTCTGTTTTTTTGTTTTGTTTTTTTTTTTTAAAGATTTATTTGTTTACTTGAGAGAGAGAAAGAGTGCGTGTGTGTGGACTCGCAGGAGCGAGGGAGGGGGCAGAGGGGGAGGGAGAGAATTTCATGCAGACTCCCTGCTGAGCACAGAGCCCCACCTCATGACCCTGAGATCATGACCTGAGCTGAAACCAAGAGTAGGATGCTTAACCGACTGAGCCACCCAGGGGCCCCAAAGATGCTTCTTTTGTTTTTGAGCCTGGTTCTGTGTTTTTAAAATCCCCTTGAAATATTTTATCTATTATTGTTATGTGTTTGGAATGACAGAGGGATGTTAACGTGAGAACTTAATGATGGCATCTCAGGGAACATGGTAATAACAGACATTACTGAATGGATGGCTCATCTCAAATATTGATTTGTACTAATATTAGAAAATTAGGGATCCTAGAAAGTGTCAGGCTACAAGTCAAAAAAAGACCATCTAAGTGTCTCATTTTTAGTGTGTGTGGGTATGGGGGCCTCTGCAGGCCCCAAAAATCATGTACGGTGTGGGAGGATTTCTCAGTAAGGAGTGCCCTGCACCACTACAAAACCGGATCTGCCCACTCTGTTTCCTCTTCACAAAGTAGCTAAGGGTCACTCAGTAGCTAATATCCTTTCTTCGCGTAGCTTGATGAAGCTACGTCGTTAAAGAATAAAACGTCAGTGATACTTGTTAAGGATGGTAAGGTGGACCTTATTGGGGACCCTCCTGCTAGGCAAAGGGACCACTGCTGTGGGATTTTACAGTGGGGGAGGGAGGTTGGGCTTGGGCAAGGACAGGGACACACTGGGGATGAGGGGGGTTCTGGATAAACCCACCCAACGGGATTCTTGCTGGAGACAGGCTGTGGGGATTAGACATCCCCTGGGGGGACACTGGAGGATGAGGAGCCAGACCAGATATTGGGGGGGTTGTGTGGGGTTAGGGTTAAACTGACTTAGCAGGGTTCTTGGTCAAGCTGTATTTTACAAGCAAGTGCATAGATGGACCTACGAGAAGGTTGCGGAACCTGACTAAAGGTTGGTCAAGAATCTTTGTCAGCTTCTGTATCAACCATTCCATGACCCAGATTGCAACTTCCGACTTGACATCCTCTTTATTACATACTACTTAAAATGACAATTCCCAGAGTAGGTAAATAATTCATAGCCCCTCTTGTCCTCCTCAATCCGGTTTTCACAGTATGGAGCCTCAGTCTGTTCCAATGTATTTGGAGAAGTATGTAACATCCTCTAGTGGTGAGTTTATGTATTAAAAAAATCACGTTGCCGCAAACCTGCAGAGGTTGGGAATGACTATTAACTGCTCCTTTAATCACATCCTTGGTAGCCCATTTCAATGAAAGCTCTAATTTTAAGACATGCCGACTCCTGCGAGTTCCTGTTTTTCTAAACTGCAGGAGTGCATCTTTGAGATTTTCAAAATCGAATTCAGATTTGGTAGGTAACTATTCTACAAAAGATGTCAACGGATCGATGTTGTTAGTTGGGTGTAGACGGTGCGGCCGGAAAGCTGGGAGAAGGGTGGGTGGGGGGCACCGAGGGCAATTCTGCTCGTTAATTCTGGTTGGACAACATTCTAAGGCAGAAAGTCTGAAGACACTCTGTCCCCTCCCACTCCAGACACACAACTGAATGATGTCCACACTTAACGATTAACACATTCCCAGCCAGCACACCCCAAGTTGGGAGCAATTCCTGGGACCTAGCTTACAACCTCCATCTCTCTCTCTGATTCAAGAAAGCCTCGTGAATGAGGACGAGCACACGGAGAATGGTGAACGAGGGCGCAGCAGGTTCCAGGCCTGGAGACTGGGCTGCGTCACTCCACTGATGGCCAGGGGTGTCACCTGACCCTCGCAGGATTCTTTGGCTCTTGGACTTATTGCTAAAGGAGGGTGGTTTCCTGTCCCATCCTTAATGACACATGCAACTTCTATAAACTTGCTCTTTTTGGAACTAATCAAGAATCAGTCGACTGAGAAAAATGAAAAAGATTTTCTTTTTGGTAAAACAAGACAACCAATTGGAATAAGGCACATTCTTCAACATCCATAAGAAACAAATGCAATTTATTGCTTTTCTTAAAGCACCCACCTGTGGTCATGGTGAGTGCAGTAGCAAAGTATATGTATGCAATGCAGATGTGTGTGCAGGTGTTTGTTTATTTGATAGGTCGTTTTAAATAATAGTCAATAGTCATTAGAGTATTTAAATAATAGTCATAGTTCATGTTCAAGTAAACATTTAAGTACCTACCATGTTTTAAACATTGTAATTATTGTAAATTGTAAATTTACATTGTAAGTATAATGATACGAAATAAACCACCAGAAAAAAAAAAATCTCAAAAAAAAAAAAAAAGAAACACATGCAAAAGCAATCACGGTTGCATAAGGAAGAAGAGGGACTGCCAAGAAATGTGACATTAATATTGGCAAAGCCCATTTGTTTTTTAAGTAGAAAAAAAGCAAAATGCGCCTGTGTTTGGAAATCAGCATGCTGTTTCTTTTATGACAGGGATGGGAAATAAATTTAAATTGCTTCTAATCTGATCCACTGCAACAGCTGCTGGGAGCTTTGTGCTGATAATGATGGGGCCGAGTTTGGGGCGGGGAGAGGGAAGGCTGCGATTGTTCTGGACCAATGGTGGCAAGCATTACATCTTCTTGCCAACTCTACCCTATTGTGATGTGACTCAGGCCACTGCTTCTCAAGTGCAAAATGTGCTCTTTAGTTCAGGTAAATGCTCCTTGGCTAAGGGTAAGTTTAGTTTATGAGTCTCAGTGAGAATAAGTGGGGGATCATCTCCAGTACAGGAGCCGATCTATGGATTTTTAAAGACATCAAAACAAGCTAAAATAGACACTGCAGGTAATACTGGAAGGAAAGGCATCGACTAACTTATATTTTTATGGATTAAAGATTAGAGGATAATGGTTGGTTTACGGATAGGGCTAAACTGGGCAAGCTGGTTGTAGTATCCTCTGGTAAGAGACACCTGGGAGCCTTGATTGTACCAGAAGGCCCAGGACCCCATCAGGTTAGGGTTAGGGTTAGGTCCACTGGGGACTGTCTGTTGCCCATTTCAGCTGATGACTCAGAACAATTGCCAATGGGTGGGCTCTCTTCATTCTTCAGGCAGTGCAGGTGGTTGGGGATAGACCCAACTTCCACAGGCCTGGGGGGGCCCCCGACTGCTCAAAGGCAGCTGATGGGACACGTACCGCACATGTGTGAGCCATGCAGCTCAGGGGAGCCAGGTACCTGGAGCATGGCAATGTCTGGGGAGGTGAGCTCACAGGAGTGAGTGACTGCGGCTTCGTGGTATTGAATTCCAAGCCTTAACTGACACAAATGTGCATCTATATTTTTTAAAGATTTATTTATTTATATTTATTTGAGAGAAGAGAGAGTGCCCTCGTGTGCATGTGCATGAGCTGGGGGAGGGGGAGGGGGAGGGGCAGAGGGAGCGGGAGAAGCAGACTCTCCACTGAGAAGGGAGCCCGATGCGGGGCTCGATCCCAGGACGCCAGGATCATGAGCTGAGCCAAAGGCAGATACTTAGCCAACTAAGTGACCCAGGCACCCCCACAAATGTGCATATTCCCGTGGAAGGCAGAGAGGAAGAATCTGGACTGCCTCGCCAGGCCTGGGTGGGAGGCCTGGCCAGGGTCGCCCTCTATAAGACACACCTGAGAGCCTTGATTGTGGCAGAGGGCCATCAGGCGTTCTGGTCTCATGGGGGCTGATAGTCACTCTCTGCAGCTGCTGCCTCAGAGCAGTTTTCAGGAGGCGGGATCCCTAGTTGCCAAAGGCTACGCAGGGCGCCGGGCCTGTGCTATATGGGTTTAGAGGACTGGGTCTGCCCGAGGCCAGTTGATTGGTGCATATTGCGCATAAGCAGGCTGCATAGCTCAGGCTAGCCAGGGAGCTGGGATGCGGAAATGCTGGGCCAGGTCAGTTCACAAAAAAAGGGCTCTGGGTGGGTACCTGGAATCTGCCTAGTTCCAAGGCTTACCTACACAAATGAGCATATTCCCCCAAAGACAGAGCTATAGAAAACTATATTACCAGTGTGGAAAGTGTGGGATGGTCAAAATGATGCCAGCAGACCGGGTGCAAGGACTCGGGCTGTGGGGGGGGGTCCCATAGGAGGGAAGTCAAACACAAGCCAGCGGGAGGTGCAAGCAGAGTTTACTGAAGATATGGAGAGAGCAGATACAGACCCCCAACCAGGAGACTCGGAAAGGAAAGGAGCACGAGCATGAGTCTCCTCTTTGTTTCGGGTCTGGTGTACGTGTCCTCTCAGGCATCCAGGAACTGGTTTGGGCAAGGACAAGACCCAGGTGTCATAAGTCACTTATTCCTTGAAGCCAGGGGTCTTGGCGTCAAGAAGTCTAGCGCCCTTGGCTTAGGAATTATCTGTTGTGCTGGAAGACTCCAATGATATCATTAACTCTTTGTTCCATACAAGGAAGACATGCACTGAAGCATGTGTAGGGTGGGGGTGCAGGTCTTAGTAAGAATAGAAGCAGGAAAAAAAAAAAGCAAAGGGGCAAAAAAACAGCTTTTTCTTTCATGGGGTCCCTTTTCCCCTGTCTCAAAAATACCCTTTATAACAGACAGATGGGAGTCTTGCTTGCTGGAGAAGCTTGGGATCTCACCAGGGAGCCTGTCCATTGGGGACTAATGGCAGTTTAACGCTGATACCTCAGAAAGATTTTTGGGGGAGTGGGCACTCTCTACCCTGGAGGCTTTGCAGGTGTTGGGGACCAGCCTGAACCCCAAAGTTCTGAAATGCTCCAGCAGCCAAAGGCTGGCTGACAGAGTATAGACTGCTCATGCGCAAGCAGTGCAGGTCAAAGGAGCCAGGAACTTGGGAAAAGGCAGCTGTAGGGAGAGGGGGAATCACAGGAGCAGGTGATTTGCAGCCCCTGGCATCTGCCTCATTTCCAGCCGAATTCCACACAAATGCGCATATTCCCCCTGAAGGCTGAGCTGGAGGAAACTGTTTACCTGAGGACATTGCCAGCATGTGACCCAGCACACGGGCTGGAGTAAGCCAACAAGACACCCCTGGGTGTCTGGACTTCTGGAGAAGCTGGGGGTCCCCAAGGTACAGCCAGTGCAAATGTGGACTGTTGCCAGTTTAAAGCTGCCACCTCAGATTTTCGGGAATGGGATCCCTCCACCCAGGAAGCTACGCAGGTGGTTCAGGACCCACCTCAGCTCCACAGACCTGGAGAACCCGCCCCCCGCCCTCCATGACCTAACGGCATGCATTCTGCACATGCGCAAGCCAGCAGGTAAGGGTCACGGGGACTTGGAACTGGGCAAGTGTCTGGAGAGGCTGGGGCAGGGGAGTGGGCTACACGGGTACAAGGCATCAGCCTAATCCAAGCCCTAACCGACACAAATGTCCATATTCCCCCTGAAGGCCGAGCTGGAGGAAACTGGACTGCTTTGGTACCCTCCAATAAGAGACCCCTGGGAGCCTTGATTGCTGGAGAACCTCGGGACCCCCGAGGCAGCCAGTCCAAATGGGGACTGATTATCACCATTTAAATTTGCCACCGCGGAAATATTTTGCCAGTGGGCTTCCTTCACCCTTAGGCCGTCCAGGGGGTCCGGTCCTCCCACAGCTCCATGGGCCTGGAGCGCGCCTGCAAACCACAGGTGGCTGACAAGGTGCGGATTGCACATGCGCAAGCCGCGCAGGTCAGGGTAGCCGTGATACTGGAAACAGGACAGTTGTAGAGAGAGGCCTGGTCACAGGAGCAGGCTGTTTGGGGTACAAGTATCTGCCTCATCTCAAGTGCTATACAAATGCCCATTGTCTTCTCCCTGAAGACAGAGTTGGAGGAAACTACCCTGACTGGCCAGCATCCAGACTGGCCAGAGTAGCCTCCAATAAGAGACACTTGGGAGCCTCCATGGCTAGAGAAGCCAAAGGCTCCTCAGGCAGCCAGTCCTCATGTGGACTATCACCAGTTTAAAGCTGCCACCTCAGAAAGATCTTTGGGAGCGGGATCCCTCCAGGCAGGAGGCTATGCAGGTGGTTCGGCCCGGCCCGAGCTACACTTAGAAGACATGGTGTGTACTGCGCATGCACAAGCCGTGCAGGTCCGCGTAGTCAGGGACCTGCATGCAATAGGGCAAGTGTCCGGAGAAGCCAGGTCCCGGGCGTGGGTTGTTGGTGGCGCAAGGCATCTGGCAAATTCTGAACACTAATCTACACAAATGCGCATATTCTCCCTGAGGGCAGAGCTGGAGGAACCTGGAACTGTCTAGCCAGGCTGGGCCACACAGGATGGTCAGGGTACCCTCCAATAAGAGACCTTTGGAAGCCTCGATGGCTGGAGAAGCCTGGGACACCAACAGGCAGCCAGTCCAACTAGGGATCGGCAATCCCCAGTTTCAAGTGGAGACTCAGAAAT